TTTTTTATAAACTAATATTATATATACATCGATAACATTTTTTTCTTTTTCATTCACACATTCTCAAAAAAGATACTATTCCAAAAATTATAAACTGAAAAATGGGACCAAACAAGGGCTAATACTGAGAATTTTAATAATTCAAGTTTATAAATATTAGAATCTATGTTTTATATTTTTAAAAACATAATTGGTACAAATAAAATTAGTTAAGACCTGATTAGTGATAATCCAATCTTAAATACATGTTTCCTGAAAATTTTCTCAGGAAAAATTCACAACTCATGTATTAAGTATGAACAATTCACAAATCAGGTTTTAAGTTTAAAAGTGTAAAAATCGAGTATTAACCAATTAATTAAAAATATTTGTTAATTAACTATAATAAGATCACGGCTATACAATTAATAGTCACTATACATAATTATAGGTGACATCTTATTTATTGATCACATATCATCAAATTAATTGGTCACAGATTATTTCGAGATCTCAAATAAATTTTTTTATAGATCACAGTTTATTTCATTGGTCACAGATCCAAAAAATTAAAAGCCACAGTTTATCTATTAGTCACATATTTTTAAATTTGTTGGTCACAAATTATCTCACTTCACAATCGCAATTTAATAGTTTAGTAACAAAGAACCAAATAGTTGGTCACATACACCAAACACCCAACCTCGATCCCAATCCATCACCAATACATGGTCGCAAACACTACCTCCACCACAACCACCACCAATAACACCACCACTTTAAAAACAAACAAACCCAACAAAAATACCTCAACGCCGCACATATTTTTGGGTCCAAATAAGTGTCTATATTTTTAGGTCCGAATAAGTGTATAAAATACACTTAGAGCTATCATTCTTGGAAAAAAAATACCTACCCGAACTTTATTCTATGCCTTGCAGAATAGCTAAAAGATTAGAATACTGTAGTTTGATTATTTTAAAGGAACACAATTTGGAAGGTGGATTTGATGTTGATGTCCTTATTTTGTTCCATGAAGTCCAAAAGACACAGCACTATTGATAATTAGTGAATCAATCTCTACAATGTTTTAGAGTTGCGTGCTCAAGAATAACAAACTTGGATTTAATTGAAATGAAATTGGGGTAAGTTACATGATTATTTTTTACCACTTCATTTGGATCGCACACAAAAAATCAAAATTAAAATAGACCTAATCATAAACAGTTATGATGAATACAAATTTGATCACGATCAATACAAATTTGATCACAGAAGGTCACATTTAGCATATAAATGGTCACATACTTCAAATGTAAACGAGGTTTGTCACAAACATTCACGGTTAACAGATGTCTAGTTATACATATTCCTATTGATAATAACTTGGTCACATACAATTAGAGTTAAAACAGATCTAGTGACAGATAATCACAATGAAAATATATTTGGTTATTACATGTCACAATTAACACAAACTTAATTACATGGGTTGTAATTAAGATATAAATGGTCAAAACTTAATTTGTAGAGTTGATCAAAAGTTGTCATAGATAACATAGGTTTAGTTAAAAACAATAACATCTTACATAGATAAGGTCACAAACAATGACAACTTATACAGTGGTCACAAAATAGTCACTGTTAAACAGAATTCGATCAAATACAGCATAGAACATACTATCAATAGGTCACAAATTGTTTTTATTATAATTTATTAAATTAATTAATTGCAACTTATTTTTTAGTCGTAAATCACAAATTTTATAGGTCAAAGCTTATATAACAATCACAAATTATTATTTTTTTATCATAATTTATCAAATTAATTGGTTACAAATTATTTCTCAATCATAAATTATAAAATTGATGTTTCACAATCACAAAGACACAATTGTATGTCACAATTACAAATTCTCGCAAATTGCACGTTTTTATAGATCACAAATTATCAAATTGATTTGTCAAACTCATTTATCATTCAAAAATTATCAAACTAATTGGTCACAATTTATTTATCACCACAATTATAAATTTAGTCACATATTGCAGTTCTTTTACGTTACATTATTTATTGCTCACAAATTACTCATTTTATTGGTCACAACTACCCAATAATTGGTGCTCTTCATTCCATTCACTCAATCCCGCCACCACTTCTACCAAAAATAAAAATAAAAAAATAAATCAAATAAAATAAAATAAATAATTTTTGTCACCATTCCACTAAAATAATTCTTCTAAGGAGGACTAAAACAAGATAAATCATCACATAAAATTAAATGAGAATCAATACCACAAAAAATAAATAGAGATTTTATAACTTCTCTCAAGAAGAAAAAGTATAAATAAGAAAGAAGACTTGTTGTAACAACATATTGACAATTTTTATTTTTATTTTTGGTGATTTTGGGTACTGAGTTGCATTTTTCTATAGCATTATTGGAATCACTCTAATGCACAAATTAACCGACCCAATTGTAAAAAAGGAAATCAAACAATTTTTCCACTTGGATTGGAATGGAAGTTCATGCGAGAACCTCAATGTTACCTTTTTGCTTTTGTTAGCGAAAGTAAAACATCTCCTAAAGCAGCTCAACTGAAATAGCAAGAATTTTAAGAAATTCTCAATAAAGAATTTGAGCATTGATTTTGATTCGATTGATGAGGCCCCATAGCTAGAATAGTCTCGATGTCATGGGTGTAAGTCCCTCCAGGTGGGCCCCATCGACAGCGGCTGAATTCAAGATTTTTTGAAATTCGCGATTCTTATTTAAAAAGCTTTTCCTGTAGATCTTGGATACTAGATGGTGTTTTGGGGCTAATTGAAAGTCGAATTGTGTTTGGGAGGTGAATTTAACGACGGTGGCTGCCGATGCTTGTGAAATTGTGGGGGTGGGTTTACATAGAGAGCCTTAGGTCCCATTATTTCAAATTATAATTTTCTTTTTTATTTTCAAACACATAATTTTTTATAAACTAATAATACATGTACATCGAAACTTTTATTTCCTTTTGAACTACACAATGTCCAAAAAAAATATTATTCTAAAAATTATAAATTGAAATAATGGGGGCAAACGAGGGCTAATACTGAAAATTTCTAATAATTTAAGTTTATAAGTATTAGAATATATGTTTTTATATTTTTATAAACATAATTAGTACAAATAAAATTAGTTAAGACCTGATTAGTGATAATGTAATCTTAAATACATGTTTCCCGATAATTTTCCCATTTTAGTATGTGTTTCAATTTGGGCTATTTTACCGGGTTGAGCAAAGAACAGTAGCTACATATAGGCGAAAATCCAATTCATGAACCGCCTGTTTGGCCCCATTTCTTGGAAATGACAATTGGTGGAATAGTATTTTTTTGAAAAATGAGTGATTGAAAAAGAAGAAAAAGTTTTCTATTTACGTATAATATTATTTTATGGAAGATTGTGTGGTTGAAAATAGAGGAGAGAGAAATGTAATGTAATTGAATTTAATGAGGGTCAAATAGGGGCTAAGTATATGTTTGGCAATTTTTTTTTAATATTATTATTATTTTTGGGTTAAACTAATCAAATATAATTTCTATCACACATTTCATATGATAATTAAATTATTATCAGCATATTCTATAAAAATTGTAATTTATAGACAACTGAAAAATACCCGGAAATCTCCGAGAATAAGAGGAGCATAGCGGCCAGGGATTACATGGGAAAAAGAGACTTTGCGCTTAAACTCCACTAATCACGTATTTGAGTCGACGCCTTAAAACTTAAAACCGGAAGCATTTTTGTTTCAATTTTTATACTTCAATTCATTTTTTTCCTAAATTCAAAATAAAAATGAGCTGAATATATATTCAATAGATGGCAAGATCAAATTCTAAACTGAATAACGCAAATGAAACTAGCACTGAACAAAAACGTGAATAATAATAAAATGATCTTATTCGTAACATACGAACGAATGTTGCTCCAATTTCATTTGAACGGACGTGAGACATATTGGAATCCACCAATTAACGAAAAAATTAAAATATTATTAATAAAAAAATGTATGTAGTGTTTTTTGAACTTTTACATATATTTAAAGCCTGTTTGATAGAATTTATTTGAAAATAATGAGTTGTTGAATAGTGTTTTTTGAACTTTTACATATATTTAAAGCCTGTTTGATAGAATTTATTTGAAAATAATGAGTTGTTGAATAGTATTTTTTGGAGAATGTGCTGTTAAAAAGTAATGAAACTTTATTGATTTGTGTTTATAATATTTTATTGTATGAATATATGGTAGAGAATGATCCTGTAGCAAATAATTTAAATTTTTAAAAGATGACAAACATGGGGTTAAAGATTTAAAACATATTTCGATCAAAACGAAGTCCTAATTCTATAGATAAATCTGAGTAAAACAAAAAAACTGGTAAAATAACTAGAAAATTACTCAAAAATAAAAATTGCTTAAATAGACCCCTACATGATAAAATTTGACCTCGACAATTTGACGCCAATATCACCCAGTAAAAATGTGTAGAATTGAAATATGCTTATGAAATGTACTTGCTCGTGTAAATCTGACAACTAGAGCTAAAAATTACGCATATTTTCGTAGACCCTTCTTATTTTGGATTTTTTCAAATAACTTATAATTTTCCCTTCTAACTTATCCGCGTCCGAAAACGACAGAAAACAAAATTATATTATTACTCCTTAATTTTAGAATTTTTGGATCTACAACGAGTAGAGAGCATCTTGGTCGTGGGTAAAGTGGACCCACAATATTTTATAATTTATTTTGTAAATGGTATACAATAAAAAAAATAAAGAATAAAAATAAAAAACCCCAACCTTCCCATTATCTTGTACTCTCTATTATCTCACACGCTTATCCACGCTGTCACCGTCTTATACATGTCTTCCGCACCCCCCCCCCTTCACACGTGCCTAATCTTCTCTATCCACCCACACGCGTGCCATCCTCAGCTACTTGTTATTCTTCTTGTTATGCACGAATCCTCATGTGTGGTGCAACAAATAAAAGTTAGAGAGAGACTCAAACATTTGAGAGAGAAAGGGGGAGAGAGGGGTGCAAAACCTTGCACAAACGAGAAGAAACTCAACTTTAATATCCCCTCAGCCCTCTTCTTCTTCAAATTCTTGTATACTTTCCTGTTGTTAAGTTGATCTATGAGGATCAGGAAGCGTTTTGCACCGTCTTATTTTTCTTCGGAGCCCCTTGCAGATCTCCATCTCAACCAATCACTGTCAAATGGAAATCAAGCGAAGCCCGAATCCGATCAGCCCTCAAATCCTCCACAGCAGCCTTCCGACCAAAATATGGTGATAATCAAATGGGCACTGCACCCTAATGCTGCTATAACTGGAAAGCGAAAGGTAGGGGTTTGCTTGAAAACTGCGCCAAGAAGCCTATGCATTATTTTCTCTGCAAATATGTGGAATTTTCATTTTCTTGATTTACTTTTTGCAAGGAAATGGAAAGTGGGGAGGATGAAGAGAAGCCCAGCAGTGATGATATCAGGTAACATTTCAAAAAGGAGAGAGAAACTCAAGTAATATCTTGATTTAACAGCCAATCATAACATAATATAGATATATTTATATGTATAAAAGTAAGTGGAAATTAATACTGTTTGAGGGTGTTTTTATAGTATCCCTTCCTCCTCATCTACTTCTAGTTTTACAATTTTATGGGAAAACAAGAATGCTCCATGTGATGCATGTTCTCATGGTATATGTATGCTGGTCCCCATCTTACATATTCTATACAACTCATTCTCCATGTTAATTGCACTTATTTTCGTTCTTTTCTCATTCTTCAGGAATGCAAGAATTTTAGTTCAAGAAGTAGATATCAAGTTTCTGCAGCCATCTTCTTCTTCTGATCCTGCAGGTAAACAATTCGTCCAGTACTGTTTATATATTTGTTAATATTTCATTACGTATTTGCACTACACTATATATAATCAGATGGGAGATGGAGAGAAGAAGATAAAATAGTTCCATTGAAGAAACGAAAAGGAACCCTGAATAGATGTGCCAGCAATGAGACATTGACGAAGGCGAGGATGAAATCGAAGACAAATAAAAAATGCGTGCAAGAAAAAGCTGATCATGATGGAAATTATTGTCCGAATAAGAAGAGGGCCAATGTTATCTTGGAGGGATCCCGGTGCAGTCGGGTTAACGGGAGAGGATGGAGATGCTGCCAACCGACCCTCGT